CGCAATTCGACTGAAATCACTGAAATCTGAAATCATCAAACATATCACATTAGCAGTGTCTCATAAAAGGTCACGTATCGCACTGACCAAGTAAGCCTTGGGTTTCTTTCACATCCACCAGTGCACTTGAGCCCCTGATGAAAATTTCCATCTTGACCAGAAACCATGATCACAACCCGGGCTCATCAGTTTCACGCGCGCTGAGCAGCAGAGATATGGTAGTTTTATACACCCCAGGTTGATATCGAATGCAACCGTTGTTCAAGTCAACACCAACCCACAAATCAAAAGCACAGACTGACAAGCACGTCGTTCTTCCTAGCGTTCCGGCCGAGATGGAGGAGTGCAATGACCTTGAGCCGAAATTTATACGTGATGGAGGCTCGGTCATCGACATTGCCATGGGACTAGGTCACTTTTCGCCACGGCCGAACAAAGTTGGTAGCCTTTTCAATCACAAACTCTCATCACAGACTGAAAAAGCTCAGCATTTTGACTGAAATCACTCGAATCTGAAATCATCAAACAGATTAGCAGTGTTTCAGAAAAGATCACGTATCGCACTGACCAAGTACCATTAGAATTTCTTTCACGTCCACCAGTGCACTTGAGTCGCTCATGTCAATTTTCACCCTGACCAGAAATAACAATCGAAAACCGGGTTCATCCTGGTTCATCACTTTAACACTTCTCGAGCAAGAAAGTTATCCTTCCAGATGGATAACCAATGTGACTGTTAGTCAATTTAGCCTCCATCCCGCAAATGCCGTTCTTGTAACAAAAAATTGAATTTGTTTGTGAGGCTGGTACTGGAGATTTAGCATAGCACAGGCTGACAGTGAAGAGTGCGTCAATCTTTCGGTTGTTCCGGCCAAGATGGAGGAATGGAATGAATCTGGCTGTTTTTGGGTTTCCTGATCAACAAAAAATTGATGTTGACTGTTGACTTTGCGAGGGAATTGGTCTTTATCACTTTTGACATCAGAAGCAAAACAGAAATTTTGATGATATGATATAAATTCATTCAAGAAAGAAAAGAGACATGATGAGTGTAGAGAGTAAACAGATCATACACACTCAAGAACCAAATCACTTCTTTTCCTTTCATCCTCTTTACCAACCAAAATGACATCATAGATATATGCATTGATACGGACTAATTCAATCAATGACAACTTCCACCAAAGATGATTTATAAGACTTGAAAGCTCATTCATTACGTAAGACTCAAAGCCTAACAATCTATAGAGCTCTTGAAATCTTTTCACAGCACCAGGTTATCAACAGATGACGACATGCTTACACATAAACCTCAATTGGAAACTCCTAACTACCGCTAGAGAGTATGATGGAATCCATTTAAGCCACATGACTCACCCATCAGATTGAAAAAGTCAATCTTGTTCTCTGAAAGTGTGACAGACTGAAACTTAAAGGAACTTGAACCATTATACCAAACCGTAAATATGAAGGTCATAAGCAGTCTGAGACTCTGAGTGAGTAAGAAGGCTTATCATTATGAACAAAACCATATGCTTTTGGACGGATCTGTCCCATACCCATCACATTGAATTTGTGTTGAAAGACGACTTTGAAAAGAAAAGTTTGCAGGATTTGAGAGATTAAGACAATTAAATATCAGCTAAGAATAGGAAACTCCTTTTACATTGTAGTATAATAAATTAATGATGCATCCTCATAATAAAACTGAAAAGGATATGAAGATGAAAAAAAGACAATGGAAAATGATCAAATCAACTTTCAATCAGTGGAAAGTTTGGTTTCTTTCTTTTTAGAAAACCACCAACGAGAACGTGAAGGGCTTTGATCCTTTGAAGAAGAATTCAATTCACCAGTAGGTGATACCTTCTTGACTCCAGTAGTACTAGCCGAAGTTGAAGTTGAAGGTCCAGTTTGATCAACAAGACCTGTCTGAACATCATCATTTCCATTCAAATCACTTGCTTTTGCTCCAGTTTTACCATCTATGTATCCTGATTTCTTACTATTCTCAACTAATTTTGATGTTTGTTTTTTGCTAACTTTAGCAACTGGATGACTTGCTGTACCATTGGCTTGTTCTTCCAAGTTGGCCTTTCCTCTAGCAATCAAAAAGTCTTCTAATAGTGCTGCGTTTCTCGAGTTTACTTTCCATACACTGAAAAGAGTTGAAGTAGGATGAGTTTTCAAGAATCTTGATTGATGAAGGGAATGGTGAATTGGATATCTACTTACGCCATTAAGATATCTCCAGCAAAAGGTACAAGTCCAATACTTGTTGAAACAGCTTGATCTAGATTCGAAGAGTTGATCAAACCAAAAACTCGTCAGCTATGGTCGTAGAGCTTCGTATGTGTTTAGATAGAGATCGAGAGAAAAGAACTCAAACTAAGTAACATTCGTTCTACCAACAGCATAGGTAAGTCACACTTCCGAGCTGGACGAATCACCAGAAAGTAAGACAGCGAAGCATCCACCACATCTCCCAAGACAGGAATCAGACCTAGAGCAAACCCAAAGTTTGAACCGAACATCATAAAAACTTCAGTCAGTACTTCAATCATTTATTTTGGAATGAGTGTTTAGATATGAAAGTGATCTTATACATACCAATGATAGCAGTCCAACCAAATCGAAAGCCGCACAAGGAGAATCCTTTATCTAAACGATGAGCGCGTTTCCTTACTTTACGCTAACCAAAAGAAACCCAATAGAAAAAACGTCCCAAAAGAAGACACCAAGGGTTCAATGAACAAATCAAAAACTTTAAGAAATCAATCGAAATTACTTACGAGGATCTTTTCTTCTTTCTTTGAAAGGCCAGGTGGTACATCACGTTTCTTACGAGTTTGTTGACCAGTATTAGGATCGGTTGTGATTTCGTATTGAGGATCTCTAGGTTCAAGACCAGCTACATGTGAAGCTAAGAATGAATGACCAACTTTCTTCGCGATATATGATGTCATAATTTGGTGGTTGAAATGAAAATTAACGAGATATTCGTTGAAGTGTGAAGTTCTATGTAAGGGATGAAAGGGAAAAACAGGACAAAGAATTATGATATGAAGTCGTTGGATTTAAAAGATGTACCGAATTTATAACAGCTATCAATTCATGCAGCTCGTGATCTCATTCAGTAATGTGCATCGGGACGGCGGACTTCACGGGTTCATCATACACCGCCTCGAGTCGAAAGGGGTCACAAAGAACAAGGGGCTTTGATTATTATGACATGATCATCATCATAAATGACATCAGACCCAATCGCAACCCAGATATTTATGTATGTACATACTCAGCACACTCCTACACGCTCTCAAGCCTTTATATCAGGCTGTGTTAGGCTGTATGCGTCATAGAAAACCAGTGCTCAAAAGCTCTGTTTGAACTTTGTAAATTGTGGGTGAGACCTTGAACCAATTTTCAGTTTCATGTTGGCAAATGAGATGAGGTTTTGCCGACTTTGGAATATTTTTGTATCATATTTATTGATGTTCAACTTCATGATTCACAATCTTTTGCTTCTATCCTTTGAAGTTTGAATCACGTTTGAGAGCTGAAAGAGTTAATAAAGAAACGTTGCTCAGCAAACGCCCTTGAAGAAGTATCCGAACTACGAGTAGCCCGACGAGTTACCGATCCGTCTTGATGTAATGTACCTCCAACTCGATCGACCAATTTCCAAACAACACCAACTCAAACAATCATCACCTTATTAACAAATCGACTATCAACAAAGAAAAGCAAAGAAAATGGCACCATTACCCAGTAGTACATTACCATTAGTTTCATCATCTTCATCATCAAATACACCAAACTTACAAACTTCAAATCCAACTTCATCCAACTTACCAAACAATCCTACTCAATCTACTTCAATCAACCCAAATCAATCTCAATCTAAAAATTTAAATATTGAAACTGAAATCGATCCAAATCAAATCTCTAGTCCTCTTGAATTGATCGGTTGGGTAAATTCAAACTAAAAAAATCAATAATCATCTCGATTTCATTTAATTTTGAATTGATTCATTGATTCTTGGTTTCTTTTTGGAATGGAATGTGGATTTGGGTATGAATGTATAGGTTGATAGTGTTTTATCTAAACTTGAAACCAAATTTTCAAGAATAGAAGTAGACGTCTTAGACAGACGTAAGCCGGCTTTGTTATCCCTTTTTACCTCGTCTCAAATCAAAGCTATTCAACAGAAGAAGAAATGAAAAAACACTAATCAGTTTTGTTTTGATTTGATTTTTCTTTTCTTTTTTGAAGTGGACCTTCTAGGAAAACGGATCGATTCGCTTGAAACGAGTATGTCAGAATTAATGGAAGGAGCGGGTGGTGCTACAACTGTATCATCGGGTCCTTCTACTGCTGCTTTGACTTCTGAACTTTCGCCTGTATCTGGACCTTCGTCTTAATCACCTTTATTCAACAATTTATCAAAACTATTGGTTTGTTGTGATGGATTTTGGTTTAAAGGTGGGATAATCTTTCAAGTTTTGAGAAGTTTTCAGTTTTGTTCAAATGGATTCTTATTTGAATAAAAACCATCAAAAGAAAATGTAATTTTATACTTTACTTTACACTTCTTGATTATATTTTTCACGATGCTTTTACTTATTCTTATAATCTCCGAGTCCTATATATAATCAGGTTTTGTTGTTTCAATTAATCAATCAATCAAAAAAGATGAAACCTTTCAAAGATTATTATTTATACTTGATCATTGTTGTAAAGCAAAGACCAAATTCATTTCTGAGAGTTTTTTTATCTTTTCAATTTTCATTAGGTTTTGATTCTATGAACTTTCATTGGTTCACATTGATGATTCTTTGCACCATTAAACAGTATCTTGAATGAAACACATGTAGTATATAATGACATTGATGATGACTATTGTACATACAAGATGAAATCCTTCCAACAGAGAAAGTTGACAAGAAAAAAAAGATATCCAAGGAAAAAAGAAACAAAAGAAATCATAGGATCTGTGTTAAATCACCCCTGTTTACTTTGGACTACATCCTTGACATCCAAGGCAATGTATACCCAAGGATACCTCAGACTTTACAATCTGAGGTATCTTTGCCAGCAGCAAGGGTGCAACTATACTATACTATACTATACTATACTTGACTATACTGGGTATAGTATATTTCAACTATACTATACCAAGTACTGGGTATAGTATATTTCAACCATACTTCACTATACTGTGTATACTACCTTATTTTGTCCTTCATTCTTTCATTTTTCATTATTTTTTGTATCATTGCATTGACTGGACAGTAATGTATTGGATGGTTGTTTTTTACCGTGAATGATTCAAATTATTCAAAGAACCAACCAAATCACTGCTGGTGCAATTCACTGGTTCAATTTTGGCTTTGCCAAGAAATTGCTCAAAAGATCAAACATATGTGTATGATGTATTGGTGTATATTTGACTATTTATAGTGCATCATTGGTTTCTTTACTCATTGGGTTGAATTCTTTGTCTGGTAGTTTACAACTTATGATTACACAATTTAAACAAAATGAAAACTAAGAATTCAATCCTTTCTTGAAGTCAGCTCTGACAAAAACAAACACAGCACCACTACATAATTTACTTATGATTTCTTGCAGCTTCCTCCTCCGCCAAACATAGAGCCATTGTTTCTCCCTTGATTGCGGTCACAGACATCAGCTGCAGTTGAAAAACTTCATTCAACAGGGCAGGAAGTAGCACTTGTAGCAAGATAATTGTGTGCCAAACTTGTGAGTACCGGATATCAAGACTTATTCATCTGATCATGAAATAGCCATATAAGAACATTAGACCAGGATTAAATCAAATAAGGAATCAAACTTATATTCCACCATATCAGAGCCTCCTTGGGATCAAGATCAACCTCCTTATCTGGGGCATCATCTGCTTGAAGCAAGCCTGGTACACAGCGTAAACAAAAACATGCAGCGCGCAGCGCTGCCGCATAACTACCCAGGTAGCAAAAATGCTTTGATTTTAGGGTCAGACTTGGGTCCACTACACCCCCAGCTACCGGAGCCAGGTCAGCCACCATTTCCGCTATCTTTGTACCAGCCTCCTCCACACTCTTCATATCACAGTACCACACCATCTGATCAATCTACCGCCTTTTTGAAATCTGATTTCCTCAAAATTGCCTTGATGGAAGATCTATCACCACCTTTTCCTGTCCACCTGTCTGATCTCAAAGCCTCATCAACAATCCAAGTGGTGATTGTTCTGGTTGTCAATTTTTTGACCCCATAGTGCAAACACACTGATTTTGAGGTATGAAGGTAAGCAACACCCTTTTTTGATTGATCACTCAAACCACAAACTACAGTATATTATAGTTTTTGACAAGTCTTTCCTTCCGTTATATTTACTCCAATTTTTTTGTTAACATCAATTATCATCAATCAAAATCAACTTTCATCTTAAATTCATCACATCCTTATCCTTCTTGAACACCTTTCTCACACCCTTCTTCCAAGCTTTTAGACCTATATACCAAGATGTTGAACAAGCAACCTACTTTAGATTCCTTTGTAGCATCTGGATACGATACCAACAAGACTTTGGCTCCCCCTTGTCAATCATCCTGAGTGATCACACCAGCAAGGCCCATGCCTGGAATGATCACCCCGAGTTCGGACTCACAACATGCTCTTGCTGATTCCAATTATTTCAAATCAACAAGAGATGTCAGAGATGCTCATGTCCATCAACACCGAGAAAGATATGCTTCACTACCAGGTGATGAAGTGGTTCATGAACCATTACAAACTTGAGGCTGATCAAAGAACATCACACATCCATCTTCCCAAGGAAGAACTCTTAATTTTATGTTTTATGTTTTTCACTCATATTCATTTATTCACTTTTGTGTTTTATTTGTTTCACTCTATTGATTTCTTTTATATTTGATATATAGGTCACTGTATGCTCCAACAGTATCTTGCGCTGAGACTACAATTTTTGAGGAAGTTAATCCCTTCTTGCACAAGTTCTCTCCTTGGACTATATCCAAATCCTTGGTGTGGAAAAAGCTATAAGGACTTGAAGCAAGCTCCCTGCCAAACCCAAATCTCTGAGGTTATGGAACGTACACATTTGACGTAAGTCCCTTGCTTGACGCCTCGCAAGGATGCGCGAGCGTAGGACTTTGTTGAGTTTAGCAGTATAGTACAAAGTACCAATACTATACTCACTGCCAGTATAGTACCACAACCTGTTACTATACTCATCTATACCAATACAGCTATAGTATAGTTGCACTCTTGCTGGCAGTGAGGGTTCAATTGTTGATTCTTGCAATAATAACACTCTGGGGTATTTGATGGGTTTGACTGCCAGCAAACTATTTGTTTAAAAACCATTCAAAAAATTAAAACTCATAGTATTCAACAAATCAGTATAACAGCATATTTCTAAAGGTCATTTCAAGCACTTTTAGACATTTCAAGTGTAATCTCAAGATACACAAAAATATTACTATGAAAGTTGAGTAATCTTTTTCTGAGGATGTAGAAAATTAATAAAAGATTGTAAAATGACTCAACAAATAGATCTTTCTTGGAAAGCCTTTGGTTTGTCTAGGTTAAGATGATCATCTAGATTCATTCCTCCATCACAAGTGAATGATCCTGTTGTGCTCAATGGTCTTCCTAGTGGATTAATCCAATCATTTGTAGCTGCAATAAGGTTTGAACAAACAAAAATCATCAGTTTTTTTATCATTCATCAATCAAATGATTCAAAAATCAAAAAATTGTTTTTGTACTAGGCGTTTTGTTGTCACCCCTTTTGCATGAATCACAGGAATAGTACAGCGGACCTCCAGGAGGGTTTAACACACCACACCCTTTGCACATGAATTGTGTACATACATAGTTAAAAGGAAAAGTATTTAAAGCATTGGGCCAGTTTACAAGTTTTGTTCTTTTGAAAAATGATAAACACAATGGGGATTTGAAAAAAAAAACTAAAGGATCAAAAGGAAAATGTTAGACTGACAATGTGTATGTGAATTCCATTCTGGTGGTATCTGTGAGCCTAATAGCGTCTGTTAGGCTAGTAGAGTCAATAAAACGGTTGTACACATAGTGTTGTAAAAGCTATGGTTTTAATTTTCAATTTGGGTTTTGTGAGATTTCAATTTTTGCTGTTGACCCATCTTGTGGTCAAACACGTAATCCATAACTTCTCCAATTTTTGATATGAAGCCCTTAGCATCTGATATCAAAAACTGGATGGCCGGAATGCACCTAGCAAAGATGAGGAACATTGATATCAGAAATGCCCTTGGATGCCCAGTCACAACAGTCCAATCTGTCATTGCTAGATTCAAGATCAAAGGTTCAGCTAAGCATCAAAAACCTACAGGTTGACCATCTCTGTTGACCAATTGCAATCTCTGACATCTTGAGTGTGATGTCAAAAAACTTGCCGGGATCCCATGCGTGAGTTGGTCCAGGAATTGGTGACAAAAGCTAGTGCTACTACAATCCGGCTGGCTCTGAAATCACTTGGTTACAACTCAAGAGTGGCAATAGTCAATCTGTATTGGAATGCTAAACATAAAGCTGCACATCTTGAGTTTGCAAAACATCATGTGGCATGGACAGTGGATGATTGTAACCGAGTCATCTGGACGGATGAATCAACCTTTGAAATTGGGAAGCCTTATCACAAAGTTTGAGTTTGGCAAAAAGTGACAGAAAAGTATGAGGCATCCTGCTTGGCACCCTCTTTCAAGTTGGGCCGTAGTTCAGTGATGGTCTGGGGTGGTTTCATTCCTGGACACAAGCTCAAGCTCAAGCTTGTCATCATGGAGCCTGGTTTTCAAAACTCAGACAACTTTATCGAGCAAGTGTATGAAAAATTGTTAGAACCCTTTTTGCACAAGTCAAGCAATACCAAAGATCACATTTTGATGGAGTATGGAGCTCCAGTCCATCACTCTAAACTTTCTTCCAAATGGTGTGAGAAAGATGGAATAGTTGAGTTAAAATGGTCAGCGCAGTCACCCAATCTGAACCCAATCAAGAACCTTTGGTCCCTCATGAAATCTGATATCTCAACCAAACATCCGATCAAGGATCTGGATTCCTTGAAGGCCAATGTGTTGAAGTCATAGGAGAGTGTACCTACTGAGAGATTGGAACGTCTAGCTGCCTTGATGCCCAAGCAAATTCAAGCCATCATCACAGCCAAGGGCGGATCCACCCATTGGTGATTGACCAGGTAAATATTTTCAACTCTTTACCGTGGGTCTCTGTCTCTACATCATCAATTAGACAGCATGTTTATTCTTCATGATGTCCATTTTTATTAGGTATGATATATGTACATTAAAACTTATGATGAGGTTTGTAAAACAAAAATTGACTTTTTTTTTAAAAAAAAAATAAAAAATCCGTAGCTTTTCCGTGACTACGTGTACAAGGTCTGATCACTTCTACTAAAGGTGTGTAGAAACAATATCTACAAGTATGAACAGGTAGAGACTTGGGTGTAAGAGCTTCACTTGGAATAAACAAGTAAAGACTCCAGTTAGTGGAACTTTAACCAAAGGCTTTAGCGCAGATATTTTGGGTTAATGATTGTCTTTACAATAATAATTAAAAATGAGAGCAACTGAGGCACAGTTCTCAATTGTAATTTGATCCTCTTATTATTCAAAGCCAGGTCAAAGAAGGTGGTGTTAAAGTCTATTATAACACCAGGAACTTTACACTCTGACTAATAGAATTTTCCCCATAGATTTATAGTTTCTTATATCAGATTAATGCCAAATATGATATAATCAGTACTCAAGGATTACTCCCTTACAAGTAATTCCACCAAAGGAATATTACAGGAATCACTGATTATGGAGTCTAATCAGAAACAAAGTTGAATGGGCACATAGAGTAAG